AAAGCGCTCCCAGTTCCTGCCCGCTGCGCCCAGCATCGCTGCCGCTGCTCTCCGAATCGTTCCCGGTGCTCCCAGGATCGCTCCCAGTGCCGCTCTGGGGGGGACCGCTTTGGAACCCCCCGGGCAGAGCGCGGCTGCTTTTGGGTGTAGGCACCGCCCGGGCCGGGCTGGGAGCGGAGCAGGAGCGGGAGGAAGAGGCGGGGCAGAGAAAGAGGAAAGGGAAGAATAGGAGCCGGAACTGGAGAAAGAGACGGGAGAGGAAGCGCAGCAGCAGCACCAACACCACGCGGTTCCCCCGCTCCGGCCGCAGCTCCCCCGGCTCCTGCTGCATCGCCCCCCGGAACCCGCAGGTGAGTGGGGAGGGGGAGCTCGCCACAGATCCATCGGGGGGGGATCTACCGGAGAGTTTTTTTGCGGGGCAGGGGATGTTTGGATCGTGCAGGACCCCAAAGCCGAACCGGAAATGCCCCTGCAGGGATCTTAGGGGGGGTCCCACGTGGCGATCGCCCGGTACCGGCGGCACAGGGGCGATCTCGGCTTTGGGGATGGCCGGGAGAGCCGGGGGGAAGGCGGGAGCCCCGGAGCGGGGAGAGCGCAGAGGGGCGATCCCGGAGCCGGGGGACGAACCGGCTGCCTGGAGGGGTCGGGGAGGCTGGGGATGAGCGGGGTAAGGGCCCCCCGAGGCTGAAAGGGGCGCTGACTTCTCCAGCTGCACTTGGGCAGCAGGACCATCAAACCCAACGTGCTCAGCCTTTGTTTTCCCCAAAGCAGGATTTGCCATTTGCAAACCTTGGTCCACTGCAGGAGAAGGCCTCAAAGAAGAAGATGACCCGGGAGACCCAAGCAGGTGAGGAGGAAGTCAGTGCCCCTTTTCCCCTCTCTCCTGCTCCATCTCCCAGCCCAGCATGGCCCCAGAAGCCCCACAAGTGCTCGGAGTGTGGGAAGAGCTTCAGATGGAAATCCGACCTGATCCGCCACATGAGAATCCACACTGGGGAACAGCCCCATGAGTGTGATAAATGCAGGAAGAGGTTTCAGAGCAGCTCCAGTCTCCTCAGGCATCAGCAGAGTCACACAGAGGAGAGGCCCTTCCGCTGCCACATTTGTTCAAAGGGCTTCAAGCTCAAGTCTATCCTCATCATCCACCTGCGCATCCACAGCGGGGAGAGGCCCTATGAGTGTCCTGAGTGTGGGAAGAGCTTCAGCCAGCAATCCACCCTGACTGGCCACCTGAGGACCCACACAGGAGAACGGCCCTACGAGTGTGCAGAGTGTGGGAACAGCTTCAGGACGAGCTCTGAGCTGACCGTGCACCAGAGAAGCCACACCAGGGAACGGCCCTATGAGTGTGGGGAGTGTGGGCAGAGCTTCCTAAGGAGCTGCCACCTGACCCGCCACATGAGAATCCACACAGGGCAATGGCCCTTCAAGAAGTGTGAGCAGTGTGGGAAGAGCTTGAGGTCGAGGTCTGAACTGATTGTCCACCAGAGGAGCCACACGGGGGAACGGCCCTTTGAGTGTGGGGAGTGTGGGAAGAGCTTCATGTCAAAGTCCCACCTGGTCTGCCATCAGAAGAGCCACACCGGGGAGAGGCCCTACGAGTGTGATCAGTGCAAGAAGAGGTTTCAGACCAGCTCCAGCCTCATTCTGCACCAGCAGCTTCACACCGACGAGAGGCCCTTCCGCTGCCCCGACTGCGGGAAGGGCTTCACCCGCAAGTGCAACCTCACCAGCCACCAGCACACCCACACCAGGGAGAGGCCCTAAGGCTGTTCTGAGTGTGGGAAGGGCTTCTCACTGAGGTCTGCCTTGACCAGACACCAACAGAGCTACCACTAAGGGAAGCCCTGTGAGTGCCCCGAGTGCAGGAAGAGCTCTGTGTGCTGCTCCAGCTCCATCCCCCACGGGAGGATCCACCCTGGATGAGCCCCGGTGATCCCTGGTGCTGGTGATCCCTGTTGGGAAGTCACCTGCCTGGGGGGCTCCACGTCCTCCTGGCTCCCCATCAGCACCTGCACACATCCACATCCCAACACCAGAAATCCACTGTGGAGATCAGATTTGTTGACTTCCG